GAGAGGAGGCAGGGAGGCTGGCTGGCCAGTCTCCAGAGCTTGATGTTTTCATCGTCAAAGGGACAGGACTGAGATAGATAACATTTTAGTTTCGTCTGCAAAGGCCTTTCATCCCAGAAAGAAAACAGTGTCAGCATTACAGCCATGAGTTGACACGTGGTAAGATCCCATTAGCAGCACGAAGGAGGCTCCCCTGCTAATCACAGGGAAAGTCAAATGACGGGAAAGGTTGCATGCCCAGAGAAGCTCCCCTGTAATTTGTATTGTAATGAATTATTACCTTAACACAAGCATGCGCCAGCGTCTAATTTGCAAGTACAGATGCCTGGCAGTTGACTTTAAAATCACTCTGGAATTATCCCTGTTTAATCTGAACAACCAGAAGTGTGACCAGGGCTTTACCAAGTGGGAGTTACACAAAAGGGTAAACTGCGGACTGGGAAGTTCTATCATCATGGAGGCGGGGGAGTCATGTGCACGGTGGCGCTTGATGCACCTGTGCTCTGCTTTAGGAGGAAGTCCTGCACACACTTTCTGCAACTGTTTTACAGACTTGTCTGCCACTCTTCCATGGAGCTCTTTGTGCGAAGGGGGCTCTCCGATCTGTTCCTACCTTCAATGTAGGGCCAAGTCCAAGTGGAATGCAGCCTCTGAAAACATAGCTGCTCCTAGACTCCTTGGAGCCAGGCCACTGCTCCTTTCTACGGATCTCAGGATTTGCGGGGGCTTTTTATGCAGGTGGCAGAGGAATGGGCACTGGGGCAACAAAGTGGGAGTGTATGTGTGTGCATGTGTGTGTGTGTTTATGCCCTGCATTGTATCAGAATGGAAGAAAGGAAATAGCATGTCCATCTATTACCTCCTCTGTCGGCCCACCTCTGTCGGCCACCAACACACATACACACCTTGTGTCCCCTTTGATGAAGAAATTAAGAAGGCCCAAAGTGAGTCATGTCACTTCCTTTCTGTGGCCTGCAACTCCAAAAGGAGAAGAGGAGAGGACGAAGGAGGTCAGGAAGGCCATTGCTCGTGGTTCAGGGTGCCCCTCCTTGCCTGCTCAGGTGCCTGTAAGCTTTGGCTCTCGGTCAGCCCTTTCCACATCTTCGAGGAGACTGTGCCTGATGAGGCTGGCTGGAAGCTGGGTGCCTGGGTGTTCATGCTCTAATAAACCCAATCAGGAAGTTTCCAACTTGTCACAACACCACAAAGAGTGTGCAGGAAAATGCCGCCTCTCTTATTTCTCCTTTAAACTTTGATTAATGTGTTTAGGAGGAACCAGAAATCCCTGGTGCCAATCAAACACATTTTGCCACACCTTTTAAACATTTTACACACAACTCATGTTTTATGAAAGCATGGCTCCTACCACTTCGGCTGGATAGAATAAGACGGCAGGAGCAAAGGTTTCTGAGACCTGCTCTCTAACATCCTAACTCAATAGGCCCCATGCAGGGCCTGGGAAAGTGCATTTTCAGTAAGTGCCACTGCTGATGTTGATCAGTTCTCTAAGAAACTCTGGGTTAGCTATGGGACTATAAGCATAGGCTCAGAGTATAGGTTTTTTTCTTTAAATAATTAAGAATCTTTTTTTTTTTTTTTTTGAGACAGAGTTTCAGTCTTGTTGCCCAGGAGTGCAATGGCACTCTGCAAGCATTCCGTGCCATTGCAACCTCTCGGCTCACTGCAACCTCTGCTTCCCGGGTTCAAGTGATTCTCCTGTCTCAGCCTCCTGAGTAGCTGGGATTAGAGGCACATGCCACCATGCCCTGCTAATTTTTGTATTTTTAGTAGAGACGGTGTTTCATTATACTGGTCAGGCTGGTCTCGAAGAGGGACTTCTTGATGTGAGCCTAGAATTGTGTGAGCCTGAAGTGCTTGGTGGGCAGCGGACAAGCTTTGCCAGCTCCCTGTTCTCAGTGGAAACGGAGTATCCCAGCCATCCTCTCTTCTCCCTGCTTGTGGTCAGCTCTAAATAGCGCACTCACAGCGCTGGGGGAAAATATTTTTCCCTGTTTCAAGTGGGCAGTGGAAGTAGTGATCGCCTAAGTAAACTCTGACCACTAGATAATGGGCCATTATAACTCTGGATGACTTCCTGAATGGCCCTAAAAAATGACTTCTCATTTCCTGCTTGTAGAAAAGAGAAATATGAGGATTGTGTTGTGTGCAAAGAAATGCAAGCTTGCAATGAGAGATGCAATGAGGGAGAGAGGGACGGAGGGAGTGGAGAAGGAGGGCAGAGAAACTGAGGTTGACTCACGGCTTTGAAGGGAAAACAAAAGGAGGAAGAAAGCCCGTTCTCCCATGGGTCGTCAAACCCCGCACTTCACACATCTTTCCCACGGGGCTGCCAGCTGCGGCCACATCACAGCTGTGCTGCCACCGGAGTGTGCCGCCTCCGCAGTGGGAGCGACTCAGAGTGGCCACCTCTGCCTCTGGAGGGCCTGTCTGCTGGCCAGCAGCGGCCACCCCAGACTGGGGTGACTGGGCAGCACGGTAGCCTGCCCAGGCAAGGCATGAAATTAACGAGGCAAAAGCCGCAGAGAGATGAAAGCACGGAAGAAAAAAAGTCACCCTGCAGCTCATATTAAAACAGAAAACTCTGCTGCTATACTTGGTCTTATTCCAAGATGCTGCCAGGAAAGAGCTGGCTCACAGAGAAGCCACAGCTTCGATTTTTCCCATACTCAAGTGATACATCTTTCCATGGCTTTTTTCCTCAAAGGGAGCAAAATAATCTCACTTTTCTGCATTAGCATAGGCTGTCCTTAAAATTTTTTTACAGCCTGTACTGGTTGGTTGAGATACTTGCAGACGGTGTAGTGGATGAAGACTCTGGGTGGGAGCCCATGGCTGTCCTGGCCAGCTCTTTAACTCAGGCACGTGACTCACTCTCTCTGAGCTTCCCTCTCCTCAGCAGTAACATGGAGGTACTGAGCAGAGAAACGGAGGCACTGTGGACACAAGATAATTCACAAAAATTGCACGGGACCATGCTCACTTCGGCAGCACATATACTAAAATTGGAACGATACAGAGAAGATTAGCATGGCCCCGGAGCAAGGATGCCACGCAAATTTGGGAAGCGTTCCATGTAAAAAAATAAAAATAAAAATAAATAAATAAATAAAATTGCATGGGACCTGGCACATAGTCAGCATGTGACAAACAGTGGCTCTCATAAAGTAGTTAATACTCGTTTCAAACTATGTATCAGGTCTAAGGGAGGAAGAAGGGCTTCTAGGCGGTGGTGATTGCAGGGAATGGTCCAGGACAAATCGTAGCCTTGTCAAAGTTGGAGCAGCCTGTTGAGGAGATGAAACACGAAGCCAAATACTTGCACAAGCTCAAATTCTACTTCTGCCACTGTGTCATTTGGGCCATTGTGGCTCCTTATTTCCTTATTTTTAGAAAAGCTGATGTGAGAATGAGCTGACTTCACGTGTAAAATACCTACTGCCGGCAGACAGAAGGTACCCACTCCACGTCAGCTCTACTCTGCCCTGATGCTTTGCAAACGTCATTAGCAGAATTCCATCACACACTTCTGACTTTATGGTATAGCTGAAACTAGAATCCTAAATGTTCAAGGATTCTTGTGCAGTTACTCTTCAGCAGGAGTTTTCAGAAAGTGGGAGAAATATTATTTATGAAGTAGAACCCATATGCTTTATTCTTTCTATATTATTAGGTTTTCATGATAATGCTTCAGAGATAAGACGGAAGGGGCTCTGCGAGAGGGCGCACATGGCGGACCGGGGGTCTGAGGCCCTCCCTGCTCTCTGTGCCTGGAGCCCACCAGCATCTTGCTCACCATACTGCCTCCCCTGGGAAAAGAGACACATGCAAATGATGAAGCATGCAGGAGCCACACGGAGGTTTTGTAAAATTAAAAGGATTTACATGAATGCCTTGGAAAACGGAAAAGTCCGTGTCAACTCTGACAGCCCAGGCATGATACCACTGACGATGTGGCTGCTGGGATTGTCACCCAACTTGGCAAGTATCCTTCATGTGATTAAACACAACATGCCTGTGACATTGGGTTTTTTTCCTAGCCAGGCTGACTGTTGTCCTCAGGGGTACCGTAGGCTTCCAAAGGCTGCTGGTGCCCTGACCTTTAGCTCCTAAATGAGCATGTGAAGCACAAGGACTGGGGAAGGGAAGGAGCCGCTCTCACATTTGAGTGTGCCCTTCCGTAGGTCATTCCAGCGAAACTGTGCCTTCATTCCGGATGACTCTGCACTCACTGAGTGTGACAATGTGCCTGACCATGGAAGATCATGGATGGGGCTGCACTCCTCTGCTACCGAGAAGCTGGACCAAGAGAGCAGGTGCGCCCTGGAGGCTGGAATGAATGCTTAAGGGCATCTCAGGACTCCACTCCTCTGAAGGAAAAATCCAATATGTCAAACTCCTCTTTCTGATAAAAACCCTTTAAATATTTGAAAACAGCTATTATAACTCCTGTTAGTTTTCTCCCAGATAAATAACCATATTCATCTTCATCCATCACTTGACTTTTCTCAAGTGCCTTCCTCATCCTCTGACAATTCCAGTTTGTAAACATTCCTCCCAAGTGTAGCCTCATAACTCAACACTTCTAATCAACAGAAGCTTGTCCAGCTTTACAATCTTTCTTAATGCAACCTGACCCAAACACATGATAAATATCACTGCTATGGTTAGGTTATATGGCAAAGTTAAAGTTTTGCAGATGTCATGAAGATCCCAAATCAGCTGGTTTTGATTTAATAAAAAATGAAGTTACCCTGAACGGGACTGACTCAATCAGGTGAAAGCCATTAAGAATGGACAGAGCCCTGCTGGAGGCAAATGCTTTCCCACTGGCCCTGGAGAAGCAGGTGATCATGCTGAGAACTGCTTGTGGAGAGGGCGGCCTCTAGGAGCCGCGACTTCAGTCCTACAGCCTTGAGAAACTGAATTCTCCCAAGAATCCATATGAGCTAGGAAGCAGACCTGGAGCTCCAGATGAAAACATACTTCGTGAGTCCCTAAGAACCCTGAGAACCGAGACCCTGACCCCCAGAAATGGAGATAAGAAGTGTGTGTTGTTTTGAGCCACGGCATTTGTGGTTACGTGTGACAACCTCATAGTTTGGGCTCATATCTTACCACGGTCAGCCAAGCTCTATCTTTCATAGGGCCATTTGTTAGACCACCTTTCGTCCACCCAGTATCTTTGTTACTGATTCGGCCTTGAACTCGTTATTAATAAATTCTGTGATTTTGTTCCATTTTTGGGTGTCTGTATTTTAGGACCCCAATCTTGCTAATCTGTACATTCTCATCCTTTCCTCTTGGTTTCTTATATTCCAAAAACCTGGGACACTCACTTAAATTGGCTGATCATTCCCAGGATGTTACTTCTTGACTCATCTAAGTAATCAACAGCGACATTGCATTTCATTTCATCAAATACTTCTCAGTATACTTAAACACTGATGAATGTCTGCATTATGTCAGTTCACATATTTTTAAAACACACATTTGACTAATAAGTAGCCATGTTTTTCAGGAAGAAAAAGATTCGCCTTCATCAGTAGACGCACCAATGATCTCCACGTGGCCTGAAAGTAACTTAAAGCCGTGATATTAACTGTACACGCGTGGACACATTGTGCCTCACCACATGCCTGTTTTGGATATACTGCAGACAGAATTTCATGCTCTTCTAAGAGTGATCTACCATGTGTTTTTCTCATAAGACATTCACCAAAGATGACGTTCGGCAGAGGGGTCTAGACCACTGACGCCAGGGGTCTGTGACAGTCCTGGATGGGGGAGGCCACAGGGGAGTAAGTCAAGAAGAAAATCCCAGGGAAACCCTTTACAGGAGCTCAAGGCTGATTTATTGTCTAAAAAATGCCAAGGAAGTGAACATGATTATTGAAATACATTCTAGAGCTCATATGCCTCAGGCTGCCAGCAATGCTGGCGCTACTGCCACAGTTAAGGCTACTAGGAGGAGTGTGTAAATTACGATGTGTCATCAGTTGTTCAGTAAGGTATGTTCAAGTCCTAGCCTCCAGAACCTGGGAAGTGACCTTATTTCAGAATGGGGTTTTTGAAGTTGTAATGGAGTTGAAATGAGGTCGTACTGGTATAGAGTGGGCACTGATGATGGGTGTCCTTGTAAGAAGATGGAAACAGACACACAGAGAGAAATGCAAAGGCACAGAGACAGATATGCAGGAGAACGCACTTTGAGGATGGAGGTGGAAATGGGAGTTTTGCATCTACTAGGCAAGGAATGCCAAGGGCTACTGGGAACACCAGAGGCTGGGGAGAGGCCAGGGGTATCCTCCTTGGCAGGTTTCAGAGAGAGAGCGGCCCTGCCCACACCTCGATTTTGTACTTCTGGCCTCCAAAACCATGAGCAAATAAATCTACGGCTTCTTAAGCCACGGTGAGAATGGAGATCTGTTAGACAGCCCTGCAGAAGCCACGCACTACAGCTGCCCTGCAGTGAGATGCCTAAGGAGGGTCTCAGATGAGGTTGCTGCCCAGAGCCGCAGGGACGAGTGGTCTATCCTATGTCTACACTGGAGCTAAAATGAAACCTGAAATGAGAAAATCACAACGTGGATAATAATCCTCATGAAACAGGAAGATTGAAGAAATAAGCATAGTAGGATGCCGTCCTGCTTTCTCCTGTGGGTGGTTTTGTGTCTAGGCTGTCTCCTTTTTAGCTGGGATGCCACCCATTGAGTTTAAATACAACTATTGCTGTGATTCTCCAAAAGGCTGCATGGCCCCAGGTAGAAGATGAGGGAAACAAGCAAACCAAAACAACAAAGGAAATGTGGGCAGGGGTGGGGTGCGGAAGGGAGGAAAGGAAAAGCGGGGCTTGTGGGGTCCTGCATCCTTTACAAGCACGTGGCGTTCAAGGACTGCCTTTTTCTCTATGAGGTTATCAGGAATGACCCAAGTTCCTTCACATATCCGACACTCTAACAGCTTTCTAATCCTGATGCCACTTGGTAAGGTCAAATAACTTTGGTTTAATCACTGATCCACTCATGTCCTCAGTTACCTACTTTGTACAGTGAGGAAGGCTGTGGATTGGGGTTTCGAACTGTGGGCCACCCCCCAGTCTACACTGTGAAATCACTGGAGTGGGTCACGACCAGCGTACCAAGGAAGAGAAAGAAAAACAAACAGAAAAGAATAGACAGCATCCGAGTGATATCGTACGGGCAGAATTGTGAAAGTTTAGGTATAGATACACGTGTACCATGATATTAAAATGCATTTCTTACTTTGGTAAGGTCAAAAATGTTGGAAAGCCACTGAAATAGACGTTATCTGGAAAACTTTCCTGTGCTGGCTTTTTTTTTTTTTTGTTTTTTTTTTTTGAGCCTATGATTGGCTCTAGAATTCCTTACAGAATGTACTAGAATACACTGACAGCATGTTGTGGAGAGAGGAAAAAAAGCTTGCAAATTAAAAAAAAAAATGTCACTCTAAAACAATCTCTTCCTGCCACAGGCACTGAGCAGCCGCAGCGATGGCCCCTCCTCCTCCAGGGTGAGTGGGTGACTGGTAATAGCCTGCTTGTCCTGGGAGCACGGAAGGGTGGTTTTGCTTTGCTATGGAGAGACCAGAATTCAGGGGCTGCTGCCACCTCAGCACAATGGCAGGTGGCTGAGGACAAGTCAGCTCAGGCAGCTCAGGCTCTCGCTCACCCACGCCACACTTTACCACCTGGTCGCCTTTGTCAGGAGTCTGCAACACTCACTGTGAAGAAAGCCAAGTCCAGTCTAAACAAGACAACTTCATGGCGACAGAGTGAATGGCCAAGGAGAAGATGCAGTCACCCTGCAATAACACAGCCCCCTCCAACCATCCACAGAATCGAGTATCTCAGTTAGGGTGCGTGGCCCTGACCCAGACTGTACCAAACAGTAGCTTTCTTTCTGCTGCCAAAAGTCCACGATTGATAGCTGCCCTGTTAATCATTTCCACTCTGATCTGCAAGGAACCCTGCCAAAAGTAGGTTTCAAAATGCTTTCTGTTCTAGTTAAATTGCTGCTGTTTTACATGAGGCCAAATTCTACCTGGGAACATGTCTGACAAAAGTGTGGCAATTAGGTGTGCTTTTGAAGCACTTGACCTCCAGGATCGAGCTTTCAACCTTGGATGCGCACCTTCTGCAGGGCATTTCGGAGTAGCGTAGTGACCAAAAGGAAGCTTTATCATCCTGACCGGCACCCGAACCTCCCGATAAACGGCCAGTGTCACTAGATCACCCCTGGATCCTAGTTCCACAGGGAAGGCTGTCCCACACTTGTCCCTACCTGGCCTTTGGCGGACGTCACAGGATATCATTCACCTCTACGACGCAGTGAATGACATTTATTTTATCTTATTTTTAAATTTACATAAAGAGACAGTATAGTCTTTAACTTGTGCCTCCCATGTAACTGAGATTCTGTGTCTTTTCACCAACATCTCCCCGAACTCACCCCTCCCCAGCTCCTGGTCACCACCATTCCACTCTCTCCTTCTCAGAATACAGTTTTTTAGATTCCACGAAGGAGTCAGATCATGCAGTGTTTGTCTTCTGGTGCCTGGCTTATTTCATAATGCCCTCCAGGTTTGCAAATGACAGGATTTCCTCCTTTTTTTTTTTAAGGCTGAATAGTATTCCATTGTGTATGTATACCACAAGCAGTGACTGGCAGTTACTAAAAACAAAAAGAAACAAAAGCTGCTGATTATTATACTAATAAGTCCTGACATTGGCTATCATGTTTTTGACAAATGGTGCCCGAGCCACTCAACATCATAGGCAAAAAAAGAGCCTTGTTCTCACACCTGGTACAAAAACTAATTCAAAATGGATCACAGATTTACATCTAAACACAAAACTATGAAGCTTGTGGAAGATGACCTAAAAGAAAACCACAGGACATACTTTGGTGCAGACTTCTCAAACCTGACACAAAAAGTATGTTCCATAAAAGGAAAAAATTTTAAATATATTAGTCTTCAAAATTTAAAAGTTTTGTTCAGCAAAAGAGCCTGTTAGGAGGTTGGCAAGATAAGCTGTGGACCTGGGAGTACATATTTGCAAACCACAGGTCTGACAGGGGCGTCATATGGAGAATATAAGGAATGCTCAGAACGTACAAATGCCCCTTCTGGCAACGGCCTACATGTGTTCGGCTCTGCTGGGGACACCTGGAGTGGGGGACCCTGGATTTTCACAGACGACTGGGCATGTTTCCTTCTTTCTGTCCTCAGGTCTTAAGGTTCCATGGGAATGATGAGAGCTATGAAGCCAGCAGGGCCGGGCCTAGGGCGGGGCACGTTCTTGGGCACAAAACTTAAGGGGGCAGCAAAGGACTCTGTCATCACAATAAACAGTGAGGCATTTTGCAAAAGCAAGACGAAAGCCATAAAATCCATGCTGAACAAAATATCAAAATGCAAATGCGGGCAAGTGAGTTCCTGTCTCAGCCACCATTCCAATCGTGGCCCTGGAAGGAAAAAAAAATTCAAAAACACAGATTTGGGAGAAACAAAGTAACATGTGCAATCCTGACACCGTCCATTTCTTTTGGTGGTGCAATCCTAACACCACCCCTTCAGCGCGCACAGGGCAGGCCCAGCTCCTGCATCTTTAGCAGCAGCAGCTGGGGCCGCCCCGCCCCCTCCCCTTCTCCGGCGTGCATCCCTGGCTCTGGGCGGAGCACCTGCTCCAGCTCCGCAGGCTTCCCACACCCCGTGCCTGGCCGCTCCTCTTCTGACCTCTCCTTCTCCATCTCGAGCCCCCTGGTGGGAAGACTGCCCACCCCCACCGCGCCCAGACTTGTCCGGGCTTTCCCACCAGCCTCTGCCTGTGCTTGCCTCATTCCAGGGCCTCGGAGCTCAGGCAGCTCCTGGAGGCTGACCCTACTGCGGGCCGGGCCCATGAGGCAGGAATGGAAGAGAACGCCCTGCACTTAGGTTATCCTTTCCCTTCTGAAGCCAAACGGAACAGACGCACCTGCCTGCTCCCTGAGGTGGGGAAAGAGGTCTGGAGGGCCGGGGCTCCTGGAGTTTCCACCCTAGATGCGTGCCCGGCCAAAGACAGGGGCGTGGGGCTGCGTGGGGGGTGGAGGCCCTGAATCTTCTGTCTCAGAACGCTGACCCTCGGAGAAGGCGCAGGCACCGAGGACATGCACAGGGTCCGCGGGCTGCCCAAACTGTCTCAGAATGTCCCCTCTGTCCCGAGCACAGCCCCAGGCCGTAGAGTCACCACGGCGTCCACGCTCTCACCAAAGCGACCGGCCCTGCGCCTGGGGCCTGCATGGGCAGTGCTCGACCCCGCAGATGATCGGCGGTGGTGCACGTGTGGTGCCCACACTGACAGGTGCACGTGGACATGCGCGTGCGGAAGGACGCAGGTCACTCTGGGCAGCAGTTCCCCTCGGGGACCCGCTCAGACGGGAGGAGGAGGACGCTCTGCACCGAGGTATCCCCGGGATGGTGCAGCCGGCACACGTGCTTTAGGAGTGACGAACGCAAAGTGAAAAAGGACGTCTCTGCGTGGCGTGGTACCCCGGGGATGGTGCTGGAGCCTCAAAGTGCAGCTGTGCGAGGGGTCTCCTGGCACCGCTGTGGGCCGTGGGGGGTCCCGGGACAGTGCGGACGGGGGACGCGGGGCTCAGGGTGTGTGTGGGGCCAGGGCCTGTCCCTCGGACGGGGCGGTCCTCATCCCCTCGCTGCCGCCCTGCTCCTCCTCCCCTCCCCACACGCCACACCCCCAAATACCCAGGGTAGGAACAGGGAAGGTGGACGGGAGAAGCCCTGCACAGTGCCCCGAGGGTCTGCAGGAGCTTCGCTCTGCCTCTGACTCGCGCACGTTATTCCTTTTTTTTTTTAATTGCATTTTAGGTTTTGGGGTACATGTGAAGAACATGCAAGGTTGTTGCATAGGTACACACGTGGCAGTGTGATTTCCTGCCTTCTTCCCCTTCACCTATATCTGGCATTTCTCCCCATGCTATCTCTCCCCAACTCTCCACCCCTCACTGTCCCTCCCTTATTTCCGGGACAGACCCCAGTATATAGTGCTCCCCTCCCTGTGTCCATGTGTTCTCATTGTTCAACGCCCACCTATGAGTGAGAATATGCGGTGTTTGATTTTCTGCTCTTGTGTCAGTTTGCTGAGAATAATGGTTTCCAGGTTCATCCATGTCCCTACAAAGGACACGAACTCATCGTTTTTGATGGCTGCATAATATTCCATGGTGTATATGTGCCACATTTTCCCTGTCCAGTCTATCATCGATGGGCATTTGGGTTAGTTCCAGGCCTTTGCTATTGTAAACTGTGCTGCAATGAACATGAGGCCAACAAACATATGAAAAAATGCTCATCATCACTGGTCATTAGAGAAATGCAAATCAAAACCACATTGAGATACCTTCTCACGCCAGTTAGAATGGTGATCATTAGAAAATCTGGAGACAACAGATGCTGGAGAGGATGTTGAGAAATTGGAAAATTTTTGCACCGTTGGTGGGAGTGTAAATTAGTTCAACCATTCTGGAAGACAGTGTGGCGATTCCTCAAGGACCCAGAAATAGAAATTCCATTTGACCCAGCAATCTCATTCCTGGGTATATATCCAAAGGATTACAAATCATTCTACTATAAGGACACATGCACATGAACGTTATTCTAACCTGTTCCTGGGCGTACTTTACCCCGAGAGCGCCAGCCCCTGCCTCCCCCTCCACACCCAGGCGCCAGTGCCTGCAGATAGCGTCTCCCTGTGCAGCATTACACCCTGCAAAGCTCCACTCGCCTAACCAGCTGTGCTGACGGCCTCCAGTTCCTGCTCAGGGTTCAACGTCCAGCTCTGCAGAACTGCCTCAATTTAAAAGAAAAGACAGGACTCCATCCGGAAACGATCTCTCCCTGGTTTCTTGCTTATTGAGCATTTAACCCATTTTTTTTTTCTCGAGCACCAAAGAGTTTCTGCAGCCCCCTAGAAGCCCCCGCTCCCTCCCCACTCTTCCATGAGGGTCTGGAGTTCTCGCACAGCCTGTTTCCTAGTTCTCCAGCAGTCTTGGTCTTTCGGTGCGAGCAGCTGCCCTACCCTGAGTTACCCTGGCTTAGTTCCACTTGGAAGTAAACATTTCTGTCATTTATCATGATCAAGCTGGAAGGAACTAGACCAGCAAGTGTGAGACAGGGTGTGCAAAAGGGCACGCAACACACACACGCTTTGCAGTGCTAGAGAAAAAATGGAGGACACATTTTTACTTCCTAAGTAAAATGACGAGACCAAGATCAGAAAATACAGTGACGAAATCGTACTATGATTTATGTTGTGCTGAATATTTATTCACTATGTTAGCGACACAGGAAGATAATGTTACAGCCTTAATATGATATTTTTGATGAAATTTTATTTAATGACTATCGGGAAATTTTTCTGTGTGCCTGAGGCCTTGTGCTAGGCATACTGATGCCTCGGCTTAAAAATACCACACCTCGCACAGAATATTAGTCAATAAAACTGCCATATTTTCTCCTAGGTTTATGAAGGACAAAGATCTGACCCAAATATCGGCTTTGGAATCTTTGGGGCCTAAATGATAATCTGTAATTGACCCCGCCAAGACATTGAATGATTTACCAACTCATCCATTAGTACATGTGTTCAATAGTGGTACTCACCTATTGGGACTGCCATGGATTTTTGTATGACTTACATTCTGCCTTTGTATGTCCTGTGACAGTAGTGAACTCAGTTTTCGAATGTTCAAGCAGAGGATGACTTAGGTCCTTGGCTGCTAGTCAGTTTCCCTCATTCAGCCACTGTTTTATTTATTTATTGATAGCCTACATGATAATGGCTAATGACAGAGTGCCAGGCATTATGAAAATAGGTAAGGGGGTGGTCAGAGCTCTGATGGAAATTATATTCATATATATATATATATATATATATATATATATATATATATATATTCTCACATACAAAGAACTATTCACAAGTTAATAAGCCATATATGCTCAACTAATGAAGTTCAAAGGGAAAGAAACTACAGTGCTCCTCAGTGGGGGTGGGAGCCATCCGCACTAAGCAGGTTTTATTGCAATGAGCACGGAGAGTCACCTAGATGAAGGGGTGTGAGTACATGTGTTTTGTTTGCTTGGCTACTTTTGGTTGGTGTGTGTGTGCACAAATAGGTCTACCAGGTGATGGAATGAAAAAAGGAGTCTTTCTCTGGACATTAGTTGTGTTCCTCAGTCTGTGCCACACACTGTCCTAAAAATTGTAATCATTAAAGTTCATATGCTTAATAGTGCTTATCGGGACTTTTTTCCAACCAATGAAACTCAATTTTATGGTGCCCTTGAGTCTTGATAATAAAACTCAAGGACAACAGTCTTGTATTTGCCTGCATTTCCCATCAGGTTGAAGGAAATTACAAGCCTTTCTTGGGTTTTAAGAATATTCGACGTGCATTATTTCTGTTGATGTATTCATTTGTGCTGAGATTCATATTTTAATTCAGAATTTCAGCAAGGTGTAGCACTTGAAAAACTAATAAAGCCCTCGTGCAGCTTGGATTTAGTATGAATACATCTCAGGCTGGTACAATTCTACTTACAGAGTGTTGTAATAAACCATACCAGTATCTCAAAAGAGATGCTTTAATACCAAATGTCTCATTTATAACTAATTACTAATGGACAATTGCTAGGCTGGACAAGTGAACAAGGACAATTAATTGAGGTAAACAGGCTTGGACAGTTCCAGTTGAATGGAAATTTCCACGCGATGTGCATGCTTGTCTCTTTGTAAAGAACTGTGTGCAGAATTCCACTACTGCACCCCCACCACTTGAAAGCCAGCCCATCTAATTTAATGCTCTTTTTAGCTCAGCAAATTCTGATTTGGAGAGTTGATGTGCATGGATTTTTGTGCAATCCTATTTACAAACCAACTGAAAAAAAAAATAAAGAGTTCCAATCCCAGAGTACACTGTGTAGCTCCGAGCATGCCAGAGAAGGCAGCTGTGGTGCACTTGTGATGTCCTCTGAGGGCTCCGGGCGCTGTCCTCACCATGGCGGTGGGTTCCGCTGCCTGAGTGGATCCATTACAGCAACTCGAGCTTCAGGTGGTCCTTTATAACCCAGCTCAAGAGGATGCGTCTCCAAGACTCAGGAGGAGCATAGCTGTGCCTCAGCTGCAATGTTCTATGACCTAATCTGAGGCGAAATTCGGATGGGTAAATTTGTTCCAAAACACATTGTTGCGTTGTTGTGGTGGTGGTTGCTAAGTCCAATCTCCAGTGAATATATTCTGGAATTAGTTATAAACTATCGATATTATAAAAGCCCTAAAACAGGAAATCCTGTTGTGGTGGTCACAGCTCAGTTGATAAAATGACCTCCGTACAAAGAAGGGCTGAGTGAATGAAAGGTGGCCACAGGTGCGGAGGAAGCTGGACGCCTTCACGGACAAGGGAGGCCCAAACCGTTCCAGGTCGTATCCTCTGGTTGGTGGAATTATTTGAAACATTCTTTTTTTTTTTTTTTAAGCTCCTGGTTCAACTTTAATTTGCTCTGCCCTTTAGAAGAATGCGGACTGCAGCTGCGGCCCCTGCCCTGGCCCTGGCCACCCACTGATGCTCTGAGCTATCTATACACCCTTTGGCCTTCTAGTCAGTTACTTCTAAAAGCTCTTTAAAAGTCTTAAGAAGATGACAAAGTGATTTTACTGGTACTGTGAGTTCTTCTGGGTTGCTCTTATACTGATTTTCCATTAATGTGATTGTTTTAATAATAACCTTTGCCAAAGGTTTCTAAAATACCATACAATCTCAAGGTTCAAATTCTGGACGAAAAATAATGTTTTGTTGAAATGACCTTCCAAAGAGAACACTTTGCTTGGTAATAAGAATGACAGGTTCAGCATTATTCTTCAACTACCAGAAGAAAAAATAATCTTGACTTTGCCAGCTAATTGACTTGCTTACTAATTGATTTAAAATGTCCTTTGACTTTAATGAGTCGGTACTTGCAATAGTAGTTTATAAGGTTAAAGTACGCACTCTCAAATATTAATTCTTTAATCATGTCATAATCCAGTAGGGGTTTGGGGAACAGGCGACATGATATTTAAAATAATTAAATAATTCTGGAAACACTTTGGTGGCCTTTCACATTGAATGACAGAATGTGATGTCACTACTTACGCTTGCTGTTTCTATTTTATGTACACAAACCAGGCCAGGGGGTCAGCTGTAAACTCACATTCTATTTTGATGACATTAACATAACTTTCAGTTCTAATCGGAGAAAGCCAGAATTTAAGTACAGCAGGAGTATTAATGCTGTTCCACCAGGAGGGAAATAAAAATGGGACCTCAGAGTGAACATGTGGTCCTTCTGAATTTCCTCCTGGACCTGGACGGGACTCATGGTTGAAACAGAGTTCCTGAAACATTTTCACCGTGACTCAGAGTGAGCAGGAAGGGTGGGGCGGCCTCTTTGTTTTCTTGCAAGGTTAATAGCTTGTACCTTAGAATGAGCCAGAGCACAGCAGGGGTAACAGAACGTCGCTTTGCCGTCATGAAGCCCATGTGGTGGACGAGCCACTGAGAACCTCCCCTGACTACGTCAGGCTGTTTGCAGTATGCATGGGCCTTGCCCTCTGCAGACCAGGGGAAGGCTGTGTCTGAGACTTAATCTAAGAAATGATCATTCTTTAAATTCTACAGGTGAAGAGATGTAAACGGAATTTTAATTATAATTTGCCTAAAATGTATTTCTTGTAGAGGATAGGCATCCCTGTGCGTATGCAAAGTCTTGGAAGAAAAATTTATGTTGATAAGGCTTGACGCTTGACTAAGGGACAGAACAAATAGCACACTGGCTTTTCTGTTTTCCTTAACGCTGATAACATCCGAAGAGGTGTGAATGTCTCTATGTAATTAACAGGGTGGCAAAAGAACAGGAACGGGATTCAGGGGACTCCAGAAAGAACTTTAATTTCTGTTCCTTGGCATGGGACACATGGGATGAAGTATTAATAGCTATAAATGCCCATAACAACTGAGATTTGATAATAAATTCAAAATTAAGTTCACACTTGAACTTTATAAAAAATACATACTTCATTTCCCTGTGGGCCATATACAAAATGTGAGCTGCAATCAAAGTCCTGGCCAGGGAGTTTCTGGTAACGTGTCTATTATGGGATGTATACTGAGAACAGTATTGATCACGGCACTTGCAGAAGCCTTTCCAGTGTGTGTCTCCCCACCATAGACTAAGGGAAAGTCTTTCTGAGAGTCATTGTATTCTCACAAAAAAATTCTCCCAGGAAGGTCCTACACTACACCTAATTTGCAGATTGAGGAAGTGGGCCGGGAGGCTTGACAACTTGTGCAAGGCGGCGTGGCTGGTAAGCATGCACTCTTAACTACTGCACTATGCTGTCTGCAATATCCAACTGCCCTTTCCTTGACTCGGCACATATTTGAATTGGGAGAAGTCCTTCAGTATTTAAATCACAGATCACTAAATGGCAAAATAGCAGAAACAATGAGAAGTTAGATATTGCTTCATTCCAAGGGAACAGAAATGACAAAACTGGTCAGGTTAGACAAAAGCTCAGCCTCCAAGAGCAATCAGATATAGCAAAGCCTGAGAATTCCTTATCTAAAAGTAATGAGACATGAGACGTTAACATGAGAAATTTCAGCCTGATTATAAGGAAATTTTCCAGTGACATGAACTGAACTGTCACTATATACCTAAAAAGAAATCATGAAAGTCCTTCGTATACGGCATTTTAGAAACTGACGGGCATGCAGGGAAGAACACGGATCACTGATTCCAGACATCTGTCCACCCACACTGTCATCTTTTTAGGGATTACTTTAAGGACCTCAGAAGCAGACAAAACAGCAGACTGTTAAAAGCATCTGTCAATATTTACCTAAACACGACAAAGCAAATGCTTGTGGCACGACCAGCAGTAATAAAATGATGGGACGACCACTCTTGGTCCTATTAGTTGAAACAATTAATAGGAAAATGGGTCAACATGAAACTGTTGGTGCCTTTGCAGGGGAAAATCACCTCCCTAAAGAATGAAACACCATCAGCACCATCACTCATGAAAGCGATGCTTGACACTTCACATCTACCAGCAAACCTCATCCAGCCCGCAGCCCTCTGAGGAAAACACTGCTGATGGCTCCATGGTGTCCAGCAGGAAAGGCAGGTGCAGCTGCGTTAGGAGCTTACTCAAGTCCTACAGCCAGTACGTGGGACAGCACCACATTCCTCTGACTCTGATGAATGTGCTTTTGTCCGTGATATAATGCCGCAAATAAGTCTCTAAAATCCACCTTTAGTAGGTCGTGTGCACCAAAGTTTGTGCAGAGTACCTTCAAAAACGCGGTCCCATCGTGCCTTGCTAGTAATAGCTACGACGCTTAAACTGACGTTACATACATTTAAAATTAAGTCTGCATTGGAACTTGATGACACGTATGTATTTAACTTACTTCCCCGCAGGTCACATACGAAATGAGAGCTGGATTCCAAGGCCTTGGCCGGGGGGTTTCTGGTATTGTGGCATATGCTGAACGCTGCCCTGACCACAGTGAGGGCGGAAGCATCTCAGCTCTGTCTGCTCCGTTTTCTCTGAGTCCTCTCTGACCCGATCCAAGAGAAAAATGTGCTGCAATATTGGCCGTCTTCTGTTGGTGTTGCTAAGTTACAGAATATTTTGCCTTGCCTTGCCCGGAAAACTGTGCTAATTGTGTTTAAAGAGATAAACCATGTTCCGGAACATCTTCGTATGTGCCCTAAATGTACTGAGTATTTTTGTAAAACAAATTTTGTTCTTTCCTTTCTCTCTCAAGTACAATTTGGAGAGAGATATACTAACACATATTAGTATTAAAGCAGAAAAGTATCGTTTTTAGAGTCCTGGGGAGCTGCGCGTGTGCACACGCAGACAGACACGTGCATCCTGGTAAGGCCGTCTAGAAGGGAAGAGCCTCACGCTCTGAAAGGGGCGTTGACATTGAACAGAGAACACGATGGATCACGATTCTGCTGGTGAAGGCAGGGCGGGTGGAGAGGCAGGCGATTGTCTGGTCGCTGTGCTTAACCCACTCAGGCCATCTGTTTTAGTCCTCTTTTCAAAACAAAATATTTCTGAAAGGACTTAATGTATTTCTTGAAGATTCTGAATAATAAAAAGATGATAGAGGAAACACAATTTTATATAAGGGCGGCGGAAGCGTGCTCAGTGTCAGGGCTGGGCTTTAGGGAGGTCCTGAGACACAGGGCCAAGGAAGGGCCAACGTTCTGGCTCTGCGGCTGTCTCCACGCTCCTCCTGCTAGCGGCGTTTGGCACAAGCCTTACCCGCTCTGAGCCGCTGAAACAGCGGCGGGATGTGTATACCCATGTTGCCATGGAATAAAGCAAAACTTCACAGAGCTGGGATTCAATACGATTCTCCTAGGATCTGTTGGCTTTATTAATTTCTTTTTCTTTTCCCACTTCCTTTCCTTTTTCAAGACTGGCGTGGGGGAAGGAGACAAATTCAATTGCTCAGCAATGGTTCTGTCTATGGATAGAAACAGCAAGAGAGGAGGAAATCCAAGCCCTAGGATGTATGCTTTCTTCTTGCACATGTTTGCATATTTGCTTCTACAATCAGCACTGGCTGTGAATGAAGACAAACTGGAAGACTCAGGACCGTTTGCAAAGAATCACCTGCGCACACCCCAGCCGTCTAATCTGTGACAGGAAGCCGTGGAACTGGAGGACTGCAGTCCCCTTCCAACTCCTGCGTCCTGCCAATGTTTCACAGGCTGCTGCTGCTATTGTATACATATGTTTGTATGTATGTATTCACTTATTTATATCCCAGAACTAAATAAAAATTAGATAAATAGTCCAACACGTTGGTTCTTTGCCCATTGTAGTTTGGGCAATTCCTCCAAAAATGAATGACCTCACTATATTTTAGGCAGTAGAGGTTTTGCTGGGGTGTGAAAGGTAATGATTTTTGTGAACATTTAACAGAGAATATGTAAGCTGATGACACCAGGGGACTCAGAACCTATCCTGTCTAAGCAGTAAGAAAGGGAAGCATTGTGTACCGAAAACGGGAAACCCAGAGCTTTCACTGCTCGGAAAAGATACATAGCACATTTCCTTTTAGTTTTCTTAGATAGAGCCTGGGATAGGGGAGAAGATGGAACATTCAGAGAAAGGTGGGATGCAGCATACACCATTGTTCTCCTTTTGAAATTAATTGAAGCTTCTTTTCCTAAGCATATCAGTATTCGTGTACTTTTCAAGTGTGATGTTCAAAAAATCATGCAACTTTTTACTAAATCTAAAGATACTTCAGGTAATCTCTCAGTTTTATACATGCTGTATTCCTCAAAACTTTTCTGAAAGTAGACAATCTGAAAATTAAGCAACAAGGTTGTGTGTATGTGTGTGTAAGCGTGTATGAGAGAGAGAGAGAGAGACAGAATGATGATTAGTGGGTTACCACACTTCTGTGACTGGTGGAGTCAGCAGTTAGGTAACTTTGGGGGTGCCCTGTGCGAATTCTGTGTTTAATGCTAGTGTCTATGCAGACAGCTTCCTGAGTTCACTCATCTACCAGCCCTGCTGTGGGCGGTCTGCTATTTAAATGCTTGCTCCCACTGTCAGAGACCTGAAGCTGGGACGATGGAGAGGAGTGGGTCCTTGCCCATCATAGCCTATGACCTCGGAGGTCACCAATCCTGGAGCGGGGGACAAAAGCCAAGTTGGAGTCTGGTCTTGGGGGTGAAGTATCTGCTGGGTTCTGTGGCCCCCAGGACTGAGCAAGAACCACGTCTGATGTGCGTGGTCACCAAGGCCTGTGGGGCCCCCATGGTGGGGAGTTGGGATGCAGTGGAACAAGGGGTCTTTTTAGGCATGACCTAGCACCACAGGCTGTGGCCAGTGCCCACTGTCTTTCTGTCTGAGGCTGTTTATTATTAGCTCTGCAGATACTTGCTGGACGTATCCCACGTGCACCAGTTACCACCTGAGCTAAAAGGCATCCGTTGCTGAGTTGCTGAAGGGTCATCAAGGACTCATTTTGCAGCTGAGTAGACTGTTTGGCACGCAAGGGCCACCTTGATAAAATTTTTCTTTTTATGCACAGCAGTTTCGGGAGAATGAATTGTCTTAATTATCTGAATTTGAGAAGAAAATTAACCAGAGAGTCTTTGCTAGGTTTATTTGCATTTAGCGAATTTCACTTAAAAAAATACGACAATAATGCTTCACACTCATCTCTGTAATCCATCTGGTACTCAAAGCCTCAAACTGCTTTGTAAGAAGACTTGAGTCTCGTGACTTTTGTCTGAAGAAATGGTTGCAAAACCAAGTGAACACTGTTCCCAGAGTGTCCCTGCAATTCAATAGTAAAGCAAGACTTCCTACTCCAAATACACAACCAGATGCGTTTTCCCTGTGCCCCCCAACTGCTCTGCCCACCACCCTACCCCTGACCCGACCCTTCTTTCTACACATTCCTAAAGTTGGTGTGGACGAGGCCTTTTCCTGTGAAAAGTCATAGGAGTTTGATGACCCACTAACCACGTCTTCCTTTCTCCCTCCCTCCCTCTCTCTCTCTCTCTCTCTCTCTCTCATTTATCCAAGTGTGTTCTTGGATGTGGACAGACAATTGCCTCCTGGTCACTGCTGTGTTCTCAATATTTCAGCCATCTGTGGATGATGGGGATAGTAGCAACTGAATTGTGCCAGTTGGTAATCGCTTCAGTAAAGGCCCCAGGGAAGATACAGAACAGAAGCAACCAGGAGCAGATCCTCACGGAGCCCCCAGCCAGTGATGAGGATCACTGTGCCCTGGAAGCGCAGACACAAACAATCTTCATGTTGACCTTGTTCTGGGGCTCATTCTAAGCTATCTCTGAAGGAAACCATTGCCTAGTCGGGAGCTGCTGCTACAGAAATAACCACAGTCAAGGAAAACCCTACACCCAAGTCAACTCAAGGTATCAGGAAATAAGATGAAAAAGAACTGTGGGGCTGCCATTGACTTTTAAAATCTCCTCTTTGTATTCTATATTTTCAGAAAACAATTTCAACATCAAGCATGAAGTTTATGATGAATATAGGAAATAGAAGGATAGCGAGGATTGAGGATTTTGTTTATGGGAAAGGACAACTGTTCTGATATTTCAAAACAGAAGAGGGAAAACAAAATAACTGTTCTTTGGTGATAAGAGAAATTTTTAGTGTCCCCACTACACACACATACACACAGGCACACACATACACACCTGTGCACACACATACCCCCTGCACATGCATATACACACATACACATGCACACACACAGAGGCACCTGTGCGCACACACACGTACACACGTACACACATGTACGCAAATACACACGTGGACATACACACATACACACAGGCACACACATACACACCTGTGCACACACATACCCCCTGCACATGCATATACACACATACACATGCACACACAGAGACACCTGTGCACACACACACGTACACACGTACACACATGTACACAAATACACACGTGGACATACACACATACACACAGGCACACACATACACACCTGTGCACATGCACACAGGCACACATATACACACCTGTGCACAGTTACACACACATGCACACATGTACACACACATACACATATGAACAAACACATAAACAGGCACACCTGTGCACAGAGACACACATATACATACATGCACACACATACACACAGGCACATCTGTGCATACAGACACACACACACACATACACACATACACATATACACATGCACATAGACACACACAGGCACTCACAAATACACACATGTATACACATCACATATACACACAGGCACACACGTGCACAAATATACAAACATCCACACACATACATGCACAAAGAAGTGTGTTAATTTCTTTGACTGTGGTAATGAGTATACAATGTACCTATATAGGAAATCACATTTTACACCTAGAATATGCATAATTTTTGTCAATTAAATATTTTAAAATTTAAAAATATGTCCCTCAGAAAAAAATTAATAAACAAATATAAGTAGCAGATTGGTTCCTTAGCAATGTGAATGTACTTAACACTGCTGAACTGTATACTTATAAACAGTTATGATAGTAAATCTTATGTGTATTTTACCATAATTCAAGATTTAAATGTTTTTAAAGTGAAAAAGAGGCTGCAATGGGGTTCTCACTTTGTGTTTCTCACCTCGTTTACCAGTAAGTAACCTGTCAGGGCTTTCCCAGGCATTCTGTGTGTCTATGCAGGCAAATTGGCTTGAATGTCCATGTTCCAACAGATGCCTTCGTCTAATATGTGGAACACTCTGGAATCACTTCCCCATGGGCTCCAGCTCTCCCTTCTCACCGTGCTCCTGGGCAGTCTTGAAGACGCTTTCATGTAGAAGAAGCCCAAGGGTTTCTTCTGACCTTTGCTCCTGAAATCGCAGCTGTGCTCATGCAGGTGCAGCCCGGATGGTTTTCTGAAACCGCGCCCTACCTCCCTCATCCTGACACCAGTGCTGTAAGACAGATGTCACTGCCCCACTGGACAGGTGAGGAGCCGAGGATGCAGGAGTGGCCCAGATCAGCTGGCCATCACTGCATGGTGGGGCTGAGGCATAAACCGATGGCAAGGACACCTGCCTCCCAAGTGACCCGCTCAGCATCCAGTTCTGTAATTGTTTTTCTGTGAATGCATGGTTTACTTTTTACGTTTTGGAATGTCTATATGAAATCATGGGGGTTTATGTGGTTGTATCATTTTTCAAGCTTGAGAAATGCATGCATCATAGTCTTTGTTCCCGTCTATCTCAGAGGA